GTTCAATAAGGGGTGCTTCCACTTGCTCATAAGAGACAGAGTTATCAAGAATAATCCTCAGTTTGATCCCTTCATTTTTGCTCAACCACAGTTAGGGGAATTCACGCCTTCACCTTCCCTTCCTGTTATAATGGATACGTCAAGTTACTCATGAGAGACAGAATTATCCAGAATGTTCTCTTTGCATCATTTTGGCCACAACAGCCTCGGTTCCCTTGCCTCCTGGGCCTACTTATTCATTCTCTAGTCAGGCTCCTCAACTGCCAAGACCTCCTGACTCAACCCAGGTCTTCAATGGCTCATCTGGATCCAGCCTCCCTTCATTGGTGTGCTTGGATGCTGTCACAGTCTGCCTTAGAGTAGCTGAACTTTGGGAAGTAGATTCCGCCTGGGTAGCTCAACACAGGTGGAGCCCAACAGGCAGGCTTGTGGTAGCTGACTTCTCCACTTTATGAAGTAGTACAAGACAATGGCTATTGAGTCCCATTCTCCATCTTCACCTATCATCGAGGATTTTCCTCTTCAAACATTTAGGGGGATCAGGGCATTGTTCTATCATTGTATCCCAAGTCTCCCATTGATCCAACATAGAGGCTTGTACTCTTCATCAACCAACCTTTAAGTGGTATTTCTGATGGCTGCCTGAACATTTTCAGGAGGAGGCGAATTCTATGCCTAGTCCATAGCACCAGGCCACCTTTCCGGGATCGCACCATCGTATGCCTCATTCCACGCATGGGGTTTCTCACCACGGCTCATTCAACCAGTTTCTTTCCTTAGATACCTTCGTCCCAAGGTTGACAGTGATTTCAAGAATGGCGGAGGACTTATGGTGGTGCCGCGTACAAGCTTCCACATATTTCTTCGCTCGTTTGCAATCCTTACGAGGTGACATCTAGCAGTTGTTCATCACAACCATCCAACTACATCGCCTGGCCTCTGTGACCACAATCGCTTAATTGAGATCGGAAAGGCAATAATTTGTGTAAGTCCTCTCGATATTGAGGATCAAAATCAGGTGCTCATGAGACAAGCAGCAACATCCTGGGCCCACCGGCTTGGAGTTTCTGTTTCAGGTATAATGAAAACAGCTTCTTGGAAGAATCAAATAGAGGGTGTCATGAGCAGGGAAACCCTCAAACAGGTTGGCAGATCAGCAGCCTGTACACCCCAGAAAGCTACCATTTCTCACAACTAGATAGGCAGCTTTCAGGTACATGTATGTCTAAACAACCTTTTTCATATTTGAATGGGCTCAATTTAGACCTTCGTTACCCTGCATGTCCCTTCCCTCCCAAACTGTTATTTAACGGTGCTACTCTGCAAATGTAGGTAAACAAAGGTGAGATGTTTTCTGTAATGGAATTCCCAAAGATCCAACGGGATTTTCCATTCTAGTAAGAAAACACTCACCTCTGTTTACCATCCCTCCCTATTCGAAAAAAAAAAAAGATCAAGGGAGAGACCTCAAAAAAAAAAAACCGAACTGGGACAAGTTCTAGTGCTACACGGCCCTTTATGGGGGGACATGCAGTGGGCGCGGAGGGTGTGGCTTGGGTGACCTTTTTCAGCGAGGTTTGTACTGCATGTGCACTGATATGCAAATGTAGGTAAACAGAGGTGAGTGTTTTCTTACTAGAATGGAAAATCCCGTTGGAATCTGGGAATTTTGAAACGGAAAATCATTGGCTCTACCGGTACAGTGTCAACAAGCATGTGATAAATACATGTAGCACTTGCACAAAGTGGCTTCATAAGCTATGCTTGATTACACAACTCATGGTGTGCTCAGTAGTTGCTCATATCTTGTTGCATTAAGACAGACCCAATTTGTGAATGTAGGCAAATTGAAAAAGACATCCAGTCAAATTGAAGTTAAAACTGATAATCTACCACTTGAAGTTGTCACTACAATGTATGTGTACGTGGCACGATTTCTGCACAGATATTCAGTGCAGTTTTATCCTTTGTTCTACCAATGTCGATAGTCATGATTATCAATTTTAATTATTAATATTTCATCTGCATTTCCTGGTACAAGTACAGGTTTTATTTCCAACAAAACAAGCAATTTTACTGCATAGATTCCCCACAAGTGACCTGTTGCCGTCGGTGTGGCGATCAATTGTAGGAGCCGCCACAACATACAGGCACATACAGTACAGTACAGTTTAGGCGCAATTCCACTTCTTGCACACTTTGGATAGAATGACCATTTTGAAAGGTCCCCTAAACTTTTCGCTGTGCCCCAGAAAACGATTTTCAGAAATGCTTTACCAAAGTTTATCAAACAGAAGACTCGAATTATTTAACTGAATAATGGTACAGGAAAAGTAAAACTTCCCTTATTATGGAATGTGTTCATGGATGTGTTCGATTAGCTTCCACGAGTTGCCTCAGGCTGAATCTTGTCCCCACTGTCTCGCTTGTTTGAAACATCGGCCATCCCAAGGTGAGGCTTGGCCAATGTAAGCTGATTGAATGCACCCTGTAAGGGCTCAGGCCTTTAGCTTGGAATGGTAAAGTTGATGATAGAAAATACTTAGAATTAAAAGTGGCAACTCAGCAAACAAATGTAAAAATCAACTGTAACAAGCACGACAAGGTCATGACCACCACCAGCTCTCCGACTTATGTTTGTACATTTCACCGTACCTTTATAATTATTATCATCATCAGACAAAAAGAGAAATGTGATGAAGAGTTTTACTCATTTATTGTACATATACATGTATTTGATTTAATGTTATACTTGTTCTACATGTTGTAACACAATGTTGATCCAATGCTGCAATATAAAATTAAGTTTCTGAGTCTTTCTTTTCTTTGCAGGTTGTCGGAAATACAGATATCCACAAAAAGATGGTTGTGGATGTATAGCGCCCTCAAGTGTCAAAGTAACTTAAGGTACCCTTGTCTGTTTCTGCAACCACATGGTGTGTCACATGTATTTTCATCCCTCTCGCGTTCCCTCTTCATGTACATGTAGATATTGTTTATAATGTTACTACGTACATGTTGTTTATTTCTTGGAAAAATCACATGCTCTTGCGAAAGAACCTAGGTGTTACATCCACTTTGTTGAGAAGTGATAACAGATTGTTACAGTTACTGGCATTAAACCTGTTACACTGTGGTCTATTTTATCAACAAAACCACATTATGCCGTTTAAAACCTTTCAGTGTGAAGAGATCAGAAAAGCCCATTCAGCTGTTGTTGTAAAGATCGACTTTCATTTCAATAGTCTGAAGAGCTCATTCCAACCCGGGTAGTCTGTATTGTGAATGTCCAGATCCTTGCTCTGAGTTTAAGCGAACAAGAAGATTGCAAAGGATTTTGACATGAGACACAGTCATCAACTGAGGATTTCTGCCTAGAGCGTTTTTGTCGTGTGTGCGCACTCTTTGGGCAAACGTGTTGAGGACACCACACAGAATTTTGAAGGGTGACAGGTGAGAGAGCTTGATGCACAGCAATACCATCAGTTGTTGATGGCCGCCGTGTACAGTGCTGGCTTGAGGGTTGACAAGAGTATGGTGACAAACCCAGAGAAGAATTTACTTGAATGTGTATTTACAACTACAGAACGGACAGGTGCACAGAAGAAATCTCTATAAGAATGGGGCAGTTTTCTCTCACTTGTTTGGTCTCCTGGAAAATATTAACCAAAAAACCCCCTCAATGCTCAATTCATGAAGAACTGGTACCGGTACGTCTGTTGCCATTCATGCAACCCCTTCTCAAGATGACCTGTGCACGTGTACATGTTGTACTCATAACAGGGGTGCTTGTGGAATTTAACCTCCTCACAGGGAGACTTGTGTGAGAGGAGGTTGGCTGGTGCTCTGACAATGTAACAGACAGATATTACTGCTCAGTGTACCAGTGTCAGAGATGAGTTGAGTGTACGTGTACCATGGTTCTCCTCTCATAATCTCTGTCCATTTTGTCTTCTTTCTCTAAGGGTTACCATCATTGTTTCTCAGACCAGTGGTTCTACTGCTGACCTTTTATTTAAGTGACACCTGTGGTTATCTTGTGATCGTGTATGTTTTAAATATTTTTACTGTGTACATTATTTTGTTAGTTTGCCATTCTATGTGGAGTTTATAGTGATGTGTCACACAACATGCATGTACAGAGACTACAAGTATCACAGACCAAGTGGCTTGGGGAAGTCTGTCAAATACTGTCCAAACTTTGAAGTGAAATAAAAAGTTTATATTTTTTGGGTCAATTATTATCGGCATACATGTACACGTACACATGTTACTTTAGGGGCACTTTTTGAGCTCCTTTCACTTACAGTATTAAGCCACATGTAATGCCCTTATTTCTATGAAGTGTCAGGATTTACCCTGAACAGACAATTTTTGGCTGTTACCCCCCCTCCCCCATGGTCTATTCGATCTCAGAATTTTCGATAGACATGAGAGACCAATTTCATGGACATAGGTTCCTGAAATGCAAAGAATAATCTTGATGACCCAGCCCCAGATGGCCCAGAAGTCTTCTCTCAGAGTGCTGATGAAGATCAAAGTCACTTGAAATCTCTTGGAGGCGGCTCAAACACAAACTACTAGATTTTATTCCCTATTATACAACTTTTGAGGATAGTATAGTTTCAGATTATTAAAAAAACTGCAAAAACAAGCTGAACAGCATTGATTGTTGCTATCATGTTAACATATACTGGCACATCATCAATTTGGTGGTGCAAAAATCCTGTCCCAACAAGCCTTGGGATATACCAGTGTACACATCATAAAAAGAAATGTCCATGGTCTGCAATACATACCGAGTAGCCTTTTCGTAGTGACCGAGTGTAACGATGTTTGGGTTTTGTGCCTTCTCCAGATCTCATATGTGCAGGTACATGTAGTCACAGTAAAACAGTATCCCTTCACCAGAAATAGGTAGAGAACTTTGCGGATTTTTGGGGTATGATACTATGTAAATACATGTACATGTATTCCATTGTATGCTTGTTACATAAATATAATAAAGATGTGCGCCACAATCTCCAGACGTCTTTGAATCAATATTTACAGTATTGCATGTTCTAAGTGTTTGATTGTATGAAGCCAATCAGTGAAGTTAATTACCACACACAATTAGTGAAACTCTTTGTACATGGATGCATGTTTTCACATTTAAAATACAGAATTCTTTCTCATACAAGTACGTTTTCTCTATTCAACTTGTGTGAAGGATATTGTGAGTACACCGCATCTGTGGCACCTGCTGCTTTATTAATCTCCATTGCTTTCAACATTCATGAACTGTGAACAGTCATTTAATCTTGTCTGCTACACCTTAAACTGTACATGCATGTATACCTACATGTACAGTAGTGGTGTGATTTCATCGATGGCAGAAATTGACCGTCAACCAAAAAACCAGCTTAAAATAGTGTTCACAGTTGAAGGAAAATTAGCCATTTCACCAAGTTTAGGTGGAAAGGCTTGCGGTAGCACCATGCAAAAGAATATATCTCACTTATGAGTATGTGTGGTTCTGAAAAGAACCGGGAGTATACTCAACGTATCGGACTTCATGCTCAGTTCGTCGTCAGGAGACTTTCCACCTATTGCTGTCCTACACCATGAATAGCTTGAAATTCCACCTGGCTTCGCTCTACAGGGGGCCCACCACATCCAGTCTCCTGACGACAGACTGAGCACGCAGTCCAAAACGTTGAGTATACTCCCGGTTCTTTTCAGAACCACACATACTCATAAGCGAGATATATTCCTTTGCATGGTGCTACCGCAAGCCTATCCACCTATTTTTGTCCTTCACCATGAATAGCCAGAAATTCCATCTCACCAAGTTTAGTTAACTACGCCAGAAGAAAGGACTTTCCATACTAGGTACATGTATGTAATGTTAACGTGTTACATATTAGGTGTAGGCAGTATGCGCATTGCCAAGTATGCGGTGTACTACAGTATTCACCAATGTTTCCCAAGGAAAAATGGTGTTAAACTGTGGCAAAAATTAGGTATTTGGAGGAACAGGTTAGCTTTTATTGTGCCATATTGTAGTGTGTAAGCTATGAAGTGTTTTGTTACTGAAATTTTCAAAACATTGTTTCAATCAAGTAAAATGTAATTTTTGTGATATTACTGTAAACATGACACTCATCAGACAATTAATCCTGGTTACTTGGCAGTTCTTACAAAAACAGAAGTTTGGCCATTTTCGTGTGTAAAGTTGGATTGTTTTTGTTTACAAAATTTTGAGTGCACAAAGTCTCTTTGTTGTTCTGATTCTGTATTTGTTATATTGATCACCAAGAGTTGTCCGTTGTGCTTGCCTTTGCTGAATTTACCATTAATCTCATTTTGTAAAATTGTTACCAAAGATGTCTTTTGGTGTTAGTACAGCATTAGACTTTTGAATCAAGCTTTTGCATAAACCAGTTAATGTGATTGCTGTAGCATAGTAATGTTATTTCAGTAAGGTATGAGCTTTTACATTTTGAGCCATTTTGCCAGTGAGCAGTTTTTTCAAACTGCCGTGATTTTTCCCTCATTTGTGGCACGAATCCCAATCACGTTCACATGTTCCCCGGATGCAGCAAAGGTAGCTGAATCTAACAAATTCCATAAACAAGATCAAAAAAATCTTTTGCCAAAAATCTGTTATTTAATAGTACTCAAAGCAATAAAAGTGAATGAAAGTCTTCAGTGTTAAGTTAATGTACCAACATGCTCTTAGCAACGTTGACCATTACCTGTAGTTGCAACAGTTTACCGGCATGGTTGCTTGAAGTACTGATGCACAGCGTGCACATACACGTGCTTGCTGCATTTAGTCTCAACCAAGGTCTGAATACTGCATTATTTTGGGCCTAAAGATTAAATAGATCCAACAACACCCAAAGGCCGCTCATTAGTGTCACGATCCGCGGCCACTCATTAGCCACAATAGAGCACAGTTGATAGAGATGAGTGAAGAAGTCAACAGGTTTTGATTTGAAAGATGTAGGGGGAGTGGAAACCATATGTACAGCAACAGGAAGTATCATTAGTTGAGACTATGCCATGCGAGTCATTATTCATTTGGTGTTTGTTTTCTTTTCTGAAGCTGCAGTCTAATCCATGGATTTTGAAACCCTCTTTTTTTCTGTAAGGTAGATGGAAATACTGGTGCCACATTTGCCATTATGCCAAAGCTTGTGTTTTGAGAGTTTCAATACTCCTTATAATAATGTTGCAAATAGTGCATTTTGAGTGAACATCATTAGTGTTTTCTGATAAGATAAAAACCAAGTCTCCTGTTAACAATACCGTGACTGGAGAATTACTAGTGAACCAGCGTCGTATCCAGCTTTTGGTGCAAATTGGGAAGCAAGTGAGAGCTTTGGGCTTATTCAACATTATGTTGGGAGAAAAAAATATTAAAAGCCTTACTCAGATATCTGTCAGTGCCCCCCCCAGCTGGATACGACACTGAAGCTAACGTACTTTTGGATAAAATGTGCATGCATATTAAAACGGTTTGTTTGGGTTCATTTGAAATTCAGGGGAAATTCGCAAAGGCAGGTGTGTATCATAAATTTCACTTTTATTATAATGTGTTTGAATTTCAATAAACTTAATTTGGATTACTTTCATGATGCGATAGATCCGTATTATTCATGCACACCCGTCAACGGGTGAGTGTGCCTTGACATGTACATGTAATCTGCCTCAAAAGCAAAAGACAAATGGATCAACTCTGCTTAATTGCACCCAGATCACTTGCCAGTGTTTATTCAGAAGACAGGCCATCCAGATAAGGTAAACATTGGACAATCTGCCAGAAATATTAGGATTTGAAGAGCTTGTTGTACGAAACGTTTCAGTGCAGTGCAGCACAAGCAATTAGTTGCATCAACAAGCCTGGACCATGATGGAGGTCTCTATTTGTAAACCTAGTCAATCTGAACCCTGATGATGCTTACCTCTTATCCCTCCCAGACTGTGGTCCAGTTTAGTTGAGGATGGTACATGTACTGGTTTACTGGCAGAGGCCAGACTATAACAAATAAATCCTGGTTGCTTCTGAAGGTAGTGGTACAAGGCGGATCCATTATTAGTTTGTATCAAAGATGCCCCAATGTAAGCCATGCTGAACGCTAAGCATGGTTGCCAATTTGATGGAAGACCTTGAACTAGGGATTCTTGGCATAGCATTTTTTTTTATTTCAGACTAAGAGGAAGACATACAAGGTCCAAACTCTCCAAAGGGTTTGATGTTTGGATAGCCTCATCAATCGGTGAAATTGCATAATTGCGGGGAGAAACCAGTGTTGAGGGCAGGTCCCACTTATTGTGTCCATGTACTTCATTTTGTAGTCCCTCACGCATTATAAATTCGTTTGTCTCCTTAAATTTTTACTTAGTGTTAATGGATGTGAAATGAACAAGATTGAAGTGCAAAACTGGCATTGTTTTAACCGTGAAATTTGATAATAAGGTAAAGCTGGGAAATTCAGATCACAAAATTGTCGAAAGACCGTTTTTAAGTAAGATTGGTACAAAGAGTTCAAAGAATTTTTTTGTATCTAAGGTCCCTTGCAAGCTGCAAAATGCATTAAGCTGAAAATTTGTATATTGTCAGTAATTATGTATTTTCGTTAGAATCTTACAGGCAATATTTGTATGAATATACATGTATGTATATGTATTTCTTGTGGTAAAGAGGTATATCTGCCGAACTGTATTAACATCATGGTAATAAAAATTAATTAGTATGTGGATGTACCAAACTGGATAGGAAATGGTGTTGTTTATCCAGCAATTTCATGTATGAAATTCCTTGTTCCTTGTATCTGCAGCATCAGTTCATCGTGCAAAGTTTAATCATTTCCCCCCTTAAAAATTGGGAAAGCCCTGACTTGTATTTGGGATGTTTGTAGAAGCTGAGAGTGACGATCAGTACAGGAGATAAACACGGCATCATATTACAAAAATCATCTGGATGGCTTGCAATGCTCTTGTAGTGACTGAAGCCACCAACGGCCATCTTACCATGCTGAATACTAAGATAAGTGTTGTCTCGCTTGCCATTCTAATTATTGATGCAGGGAACAATGTGGTTAGCAAGGCGAGTAAGCCTGTGTGTTACTCCTGTATTTGGCATGGTAAGATGTCCACAGATGACTTCAATGACCCATGTGGGCTGATTATTGTGAGTCCAGGCAGTTTTGCGTGGAGATAAGGTGCGCATTTCGATAGTCCTCCCGCCAAAGCACTTTGGATAAATACTCTCACAGGGTGTTTGTATAAATTAAGGTCTTCAATTAGTCTTGGTGCAAGATGTTACTGTGCAGTATCTGTTCCTTGTGCATCTTTAACCACTTGTCGCCGGATGACGTGTCAGCACACAATTTTCCTTATACAATGTATGCTCTATGGAGGACGTGCATACTCATTTAAAAATTGGGTTTTTTTTTCAATCCCGCGGTTAACATATTAACGCGTCGTGCTTGTTTGGGTCGGAGCACAGAAGATGACCCCTACACGCGGACGCTGCTACTAAGTGGACCCCCCCACACACACAAGTGTGTATTTGCCTGCAACTAGGGACCCCGTATTGTTCCTCTTTTGTTTGTACTCTAACTTTTTTACAAGACCACCCATATGTTTTGTACACAGTTGTCAATCGGGGACCCTCTGTCAATCGGGGACCTTATTGTCCTCTATTGTTCAAGGTCCGCAATTGAATGCAGAAACAAACTCACACACACAAATAATCCAGAAATGCTTTTCTTGAGGAATAAGAATTGAATGGGGATCCCACCATACACAATAAGGGATTAAAGACTTCCTTTGGATAAACCGATTTGCTAGCGAAGGTTACAAAAATACCAACTAGCAACTCCTTTGTATCGATACAAATGGCAAAAACAAATATGGCCATGGTTGACACCTTTATACACTATGGACCTTTTGTACGTAAAGTGGTTGACGTCTGGACATGCACCACAGTTTTTACCTGGGCAGTTAAACGGCTCAACAGAAGAACTCAAGGAAAAATATTGATGCCATTACTCAGAAGTTGTGCCTTCCCACATATTTATGAGCACTAGAAATAATTTGCGGGAGAGAAAAATGCCCAAGCAGCTAGATACATGGGTATCTTCCCACTCCATAAAAAATACAGAGGGCGAATTGAATGCTAGTCGGATAGAATCGATATCTTGTGGAGAAATGGGATCCGTTATAA